CCAAGTCTTTATTTGTTGGTGAGTCTTAGTTTGTTGTAGCTTGGTTTGTTTCTTCCTGGCTGCCTTTAGTCTGGTCTGACTTGGGGTCTGACTGAGTACCTTCTGCTAGGGGTTGCGCTATTCCGGTGTCAACTTCCATCCCTAGTTCGGTTGTGTCAGTTAGGTCGACTGGGCAGATATGATGACTTCCAAGAGTAAACTCTGTGACGAAGTCTGCTAAAGATTGGGCCTTTACTGCGGTTCTGGGTTGGAACTTGATGTCGAATTGTCCCAACTCTACTGTCCACTTCAAGATTCGCCCAGAAAAGTTCGCCCTCTCAAACAAAGCTTTTAGTGGGAAAGCTGTGAGGACGACTATGGTGTGGGCGTGAAAGTAGTGTGCCAATTTCCTGGAGGCCATCATCAAGGCTAATGCTAGTTTTTCCAGTGGCAAATACCTTGTTTCGGCTCCCAGAAATGTTTTGCTGACATAATAGATGGGCAGATGTTGAATTTCTTCTGCACGGACCAACACTGCGCTGATTGCGTGCTGAGAGACTGCAAGGTATAGGAAGAGTTCTTCTCCTGGTATTGGGGTGACCAGCAATGGTGGAGAGGACATGTATTCTTTCAGGCTTTCCAGAGCTTGGTCGCATTCTTCGTCCCATTTGAACTTGGATTTTAAAGCTTGAAAGAATGGTCGTAGTCTGTCTGATGATCGGCTTATGAACCGATTGAGTGTGACTGCCATGCCGGTGAGATGCTGCACTTCTTTTACTGAGTTTGGTCTTTCCAAATCCTGAATTGCTTTGATCTGGGAGGGGTCCGCTTCCATACCCCGGTTGGTCACAAGGAAGCCCAGGAATTTTCCAGATCCTACACCAAATGCACACTTAAATGCATTGAGGCGTAACTTGTGCTTCTTCAGGATTTCAAACATCTCTCCTAGGTCCTTAAGATGGTCATTCTCATCCTTGCTTTTGACCACCATGTCGTCGATGTAAGCCTCTATCGTTCTTCCTAACAATGGTTCAAACATCTTGGTGACCATTCGTTGGAATGTTGCCCCTGCGTTCTTCAGGCCAAAGGGCATGACCTTGTAACAGTATAGTCCTCTTGGTGTTGTAAAGGATGTGACCTCCTAGTCTGGTTCATGCATGGCGATTTGGTGGTAGCCTCTGTATGCATCCAGAAAGCTAAGTCGATTATGCCCTGCTGTTAGGTCTACCAGTTGATCTATCCGGGGTAGAAGAAAGCTATCTTTTGGGCACGCCTTGTTGACTGTTTTGTAGTCGACGCAGACACGCCACTTGCCATTCTTTTTTGGCACTACGACCGTATTGGAGATCCATTTTGGGTAGTGCACCTCTCTAATTGCTCCTACCTCCAGCAGGTTTCCTACTTCTTCCGCTACTATTTCGGCATGGTGAAGTGCCGATCTGCGAGTGCGCTGAATGACTGGTCTGGCGGATGGGTGGACATTAAGTTGGTGATAGATGAAGTTTGGGTCAATGTCTGGCATGTCGTAGGGTGTCCAGGCGAACACTTCGATGTTAGAGGTTAAGAATTCTAAGACCTCTAATCTCTCAGTGCTGGACAACGACGAACCGAGCAAAAAGAACTTGTCCGGGTTCTTTTCATCTATTCTTACCTCTACCAAGTCCTCCACTGCTTTCTGATCAGCCGCTTTGCCGACATCTGCGAATAGTTCATTGCTCTCAGGTTCTTCCACCGAATGAACGTATCCTTTGGCAGCGCGGCTGCCATTCACCGTGACAAAGCATTGCTTCGACATGATTTGATCTCCATAGACTTCTTCAATTACCCCGGTATCGTTGGGGAACCGCATTACTTGGTGGTAGGATGACGCCACCGATCGCATGGCATGCAGCCATGTTCTGCCCAAGATGATATTGTAAGTAGAGGGGACCTTCAATACCCAGAACTCCACTTGTTTCGTCACGCTTCCTACTCTGACTGGAAGAATTATTTTGCCGACGGGCCATTCTGACATGGAGTTGAATCCAATTAGGGGACATACAGCAGGCGCCAAGTCTTTGTCTTGCAGCTTCAATTGTTTAAATGTTTCGTAGTACATGATTTCACATGAACTACCCTGGTCAATCAGAATCCGCTTGACGTTAAAATCCTTGACTCCGAGAGTGACAACCAGGGCATCATTGTGAGGGCAATATATCCGCTCCAAGTCTTTATCCGAAAAAGACATGACGTTTGTTGCCTCTGTCTTCCCCTTCTTGATGGCAGGTTGGGCACTTAGCACCTCTCTTAAGTGTTCAGCCTTTATGATTGATCCCCTGAGCTCGCATACACGCTCAGGTTCGAAAACTCCATGAATCACATTGATAATGCCTTGAGGCGGGGCGTCGATTGGCATCCCATTGGGGTTATTATAAAAAAGGGTCATCCTCATTTGTGAAAGGGAATAGTTACACTACGGCCGATGGAATATTAATTGATTCTAGTATATGCACCATACCACTCTGTTTCGCATGACACAGGTGTGTAAAAGGAAAAAAGAAGAAGAAAAGAATGATTAATGTTTTCATACTATCATATTGTTGTAACATGTATGAAGATAGAATATCCATATTAGATAAAGAGTAAAAGCTCAATGGCGTGCAATTCTCAGTGCGGTGTCCCTTTTCTTTATGGAAGGTGCACCGTGATCTTTCGTCATATATTATTCACTTTTAAGTTTAAATTTTTAAATAAGTATGTGATTTAAACAATATATGTTAAGCTCGCATGTTACGCACGTGGACTCTATAATTTCTCCATAAAGAGATATGAGTCCACATAACATGTCATGAGATCATCACCATGTGATCTCACTGTACGATTCTCACACACACACACACACACACACACACATATATATATATATCATGAATTGAAACAGAAATGGTTAAGAGGCAAATAGGAACACAGCTGTATGCCCATGAAGCTGCAAATATCACAAATTGCAACTTGGAAGTTTGGACCAACTTCTTCTTTTACTTTCCGTGTGGATACAAAAAAATTATGTTCTCTATTATTTTATTTTTTTGTCTTCAATATGTTAGTTATGTGCAAAAATATATTAACAAAAATACATGGAACAGAGGATATCTTTGAAAGGATTTCACAATGATCTTACCAGATTACACTATGGAGATCTCATGTTTAAATTAATGAACCTACCTTCCAGATGATAACTTGTTTTTGTAACAATGTGGGAAGGATTGTGTACTATAATCTTGGTCTTTGCATAAATTTTAACTACTAAGACATGTTGCAATATGAAAATCACTTCTTTTTTCTTTTTTTTTTAAAAACAAACCAATGGTAGTGGTGTAAGAAAAATCGATGTAATATAGATCTATTGATGTAATATAGATCTATATTACAACCATGTAATAGAGAGCATCTAGATCCGGAAACTAGACCCACATTAGGTAAGTCAAATACAAAAAAATTGGCTAGAGAACAGAGAGTCCATCATCCAAATTTCAACTGAAATAAATTGAACTTCGAAAAGCTAAGGGAATTATATAATATACATGATACACAAATATTAAACATATATATATATATATATATATACATTCATGCACAGACAACACAGTTTGATTGAAGATAAGAAAGGAAACTCAAAGTGGGTCCCCTATAGCCTATAGTCCTTTCCCTTCCCGTTCTCACTTTATGCCCAAATTCTCAAATCTGTTGTACCCAATTCGTCTTTCCATTCTCACGCATCCCTTTTCTGTGTGTGTGTGTGTGAGAGAGAGAGAGAGATAGAGAGAGAGAGCATACTGACTGAGCTCGCGTAAGAGAGAGGGATCGTAACACACCGTCGCCGCACCACCGCTAGCCGTCATCGCTCATCGACAGAGAGATCGTCGGTGAACAATCGAAATCTCTGTGATTGGGAACTCGAAATCTCTGTGATCGTTGGTGAACACAAACTCGAAATCGTCTTTGAGATTGGGAACTCGAAGTCTCTGTGATTGTGAGGAAGAATGTGTTAGGGATTTGGGGATGAAATTTTTGGAGTTTTGATCGAGCGCCAATTTGGGCGAAAGGAGGGAGTTGAATATTTCATTACCTTTTGCGACGGTATAGATAAACGGTCGCAACTGATGAAATCCAACTATTAAAACGACGCCGTTTTAATAAGGTTTTTTTTTGCGACAGTCAATTGCCGTCACGAATGCCCACTATTTGCCACAGTAATTTCCACCTGTCTCAAAAGAATTTTTTTTGCGACGGCACACAATGCGTCGCAAATACTTCTGTGTTTAAGGCACTTTTTCTTGTCTGCTTATTAGCGACAGGGCGATTACCATCGCAAAATACATTTATTTGAGACGGCTTCGAATGCCGTCGCAAAAGACAACTTTTTGCGACGGTATACACGCCGTCGCAAAAAGTTATGTGTTTTAAAGTCACTTTTCTTGTAGTGCTGTTTGGACTGCCTTCTTGAACTTGTTTGGTTCCAACCCCGGCCCCGCAAAAGTTCTTGGTTGCCACATTCAAAATGTTGGCATGACAGACCAACAAAGCTCACTTCATTCTGGAATCTGGAATCTGGAATCTGTTGCCAAACATATGCAGTCCATTAGTTTGGACAGCATAAACCATGCACCCAAACACTCCCTCCAATTCAGTTATTACTGGTCATGACTCTCAAAGCTCATGAACATTGTGGTCATAATAAGCGTGATACAGCTCATGAATTTTGTGGGCACTACATGGGTCTCGTGAACCAACTGGGAACTCAACTGCTCTCTCAAAGCAATCCTAACATTAATCAAATCAAACAAACTCACCCCCAATGAATTTAAATAAACAGACCAAAACAGCAACGCAAAGTACAGCAAGCAAACTGAGCCACTGCCTTTCCTTTTTGTGTGTGTAAAATAACCTACATTCACTGCTTCTGGTTTGCAGTTGACTGGTTTCTGCATGAATGACATTAAGAGGCTTGTTGGGTTCATCTTATAAAAGGTTGATCAAGAGCTCTTCACTTTCTCATCCCTGACAATTACAAGGTTACAAAAGTTCATTTCAGTGAAGAGCGTGTGTGTTTGATACAAAATAAAAGACAGCCCACATATCATTTTCACTCCTTAGCACTGATCATACTTGACACAGTTTTCTAAAGGGATGAGGAGTTTCAGAACATATTGGTTTCTGACTACAATTGTTCTCAGTTTCTTCACATTTAATGGTCTTTCGGAGGCCAAGCGTGAGAAGAAGAAGCTTCCGTCTGCAGTTGTTGTCGGTACTGTTTACTGCGACACGTGCTTCCAAGCAGATTTCTCAAAGACGAGTCACTTCATTTCAGGTTTGTTTCAACAACTTTTCACTCTTTTTCTTTCCTTAAATTTTGAAACTTCAGGTTAATTTTTTTCAATCTAGTGGCCTGAAATCTGTGTGTTTTGAATTTTTTGTGCATAGGCGCGTTGGTTGCAGTGGAATGCGGAGGTACAAGTTCAAAACCAAGTTTCCGAGAGGAAGTGAAAACAAACGAGCAGGGAGAATTCAAAATTCATCTACCTTTCTCGGTTAGCAAACATGTCAAGAACATCAAGGGATGTTCGGTGAAGCTAATCAGCAGCAGTGAACCATATTGTGCTGTGGCATCAACCGCAGCTTCATCTTCGCTACGTCTCAAGTCAAGAAAGCAAGGGACTCACATTTTCTCAGCTGGGTTTTTCACTTTCAAGCCACTCAAACAGCCCACATTGTGTAACCAAAAACCAAGTTTTCAGAAATCCAAGGAATTCAATTCCCAAAAACCCTTAATTCCATTTCCTGATAATCCAACATTTCCACCCCCAATTCAAGACCCACCAACATTGCCAATTTTACCACCCATAGATCAAAACCATCTTCCTCCTCTGCCACAACTACCCAGCCTTCCACCACTGCCTCAACTCCCTCCTATGCCTCCACTTCCAGGAATTCCATATTTCCCACCCCCCGCTAAAAAGTCAATGCAGTCAAAATTTGCAGACACTTCAAAAGCCTCTAAACTATCTAATGGAAAGGTTGACCGGGGACAATTTTTCCAGCCAATACCGCAAAACCAGCTCTTCCCAACACCATCTCCATCACCATCACCACCAACTTTTGGGATTCCATTGCCACCAAATCCATTTCGTCCGCCTTCAGTACTACCTCCGAACCCATTTCGCCCACCACCTTCAGTATTTCCTCCAAACCCATTCCAGCCTTTGCCACCACTGATTAATGCCCCACCATTACCAAACTTGACTCCATCCCCACCACCATCAACACCACCGGCCTTTCCAATTCCTCTTCCTCCATTCCCATTTCAACCATCCCCTGGATTCCCTGGAATTCCACCGGCTTTTTCTTCTTCATCTTCAAAGAAAACCGTTCCTTGATTAAACAAGTATATCTATCCATGTAAAATTCCCCAACAATAATTGTCAGATCGATGTAGCTCAACTCTGCTTCTTTCTTTCTTCTTCTTCTTCTTCTTCTTCTTCTTCTTCTTCTTCTTCTTCTTCTTCTTTTTTTTTTTTTTTTTTTTTTGGGCAAGGCTAATATGTATCGGTTGGCTGTTTATGAAACATGTAATGTGAATGTTAGGATGCAAAATTATTGTAATTTAGAGTAAATCCCAAGTGTTTGAAGTTTGAAACTATTTAGCTTCAACAATCCATTTCTTGAACTTGTTCGCAGCACTATGAGAATGACAAAACTGCTACCATATGTAAACATGAACTTTCATTGCTGCAACAAACTTATCCTAATTCATATCCTAATCAAACCATTGCAAACACTTTCTGAGATCAAAGAAGTTATTGGTAGGTCTGAGATCTATGACTGGGTTGTGTGTTCACCTTATACACTAAAGGATACATCATTATTTTAAGAGGAATTTAGTTAGATGACTTTATACAATTGAAAGGAGATACCACGTTAATAGGATATAAGCTGGACTTGCTAGGTAATATTTCTTCTCTTGATTCAATTCAGGACTAGTTTGATAATTGCTTCTTCTTTTTCTTTTTTTAGTTAATTTTGTTCCTTTGTAGGGATTTTTTTCCTCTAAATTTTTAAATTTTTTGAAACTCTTCACATTTAAATCTTATTAGATTAGAAGACCCTAATATATAAAATAAAATAAAATAAAAAATTAGTGCACCTGCTTTCATCTTTTATAATTTATAAGAATCTAAAAATTTGAAAAAAAAAAGACTTTTATTGTGACTTTTTTACCAATAAGAGCCTGAAGGGGGAAAAAAAATTCTACTCAAATTATGTTTTATAAAATATGTGGCGAAAAATAGTATAAGGATGCTGTGGTGTAGTGGTTATCACGTTAGTCTTACACACTAAAGGTCTCCAGTTCGATCCTGGGCAGCATCATTTTAATTTTACTACTACCAAGGCCATTCATTTTTCTTTCCTTCTAACATAATGAATGGATTATTTGTTCTTTTTAATTTTTTTCAAGATCGTTTGCTTGTTTTCTAAGGAAAGTTGAAAATTTCTCAGATCTAATAGGGATTTGAGATATAAAAATGAAAAACAGTCGATCTACTGGAATATTAATTTCATGATTTGAGATATAAAAAAGAAAAACAATTGATCTACTGGAATATTAATTTAATGATTTGAGTTTTGAAGTTGGGCATCTAGCTTGAGGATCACATTTGGAAATTCTCCGTATCTCATGTAGAGTTTGAGATTTTTTTTCAGCAGTTAAATTATGTTAAAAATTAAGACAATGATTTAAAAGTTTCCGAACAATTTTTTTCCAGAAACAGTTGATGAATCTTTTAAACTATGCATCAACTCAGTTCGAAGTTTTTGTCTATTTGTTTACTAGAAATTGGGATATTTGTAATTCACATTACCAAGCCAACTTAGATGAGTTGCGTTTTGCCATTCTCTATGAATAAAGGCACGTCATGGAAGATAGTACTACACCTTTTCAAATTAATTAAAAAAAAAGTCTTATTTTTTGGTTTATTTTAAAAAATACATCTTTTTATGCATTGTTATAGACCAATAAATCCATTTTCAATGAAATGTTTTGGTATGCAATAGTAATACAAATTTACGTAAGTTAATTACAAATTTATGTAAATTTGTAAAAATTTACATGATTTTATAAATTTACACGATTTTATATGTAACTTATGTACTTTTGTCATCAAGGTCAGCGAAGGAGACATATGCTATATCTATATCCTGACCTATGAAATTGTTTCGAAATCGCTACTTTTCTTTTCTAGGACTTGAAAGAGGTTTATGTTGTATAAATTTATTTATTCGAAATTTTTTTGTTGCTTGGATTGTGTGTGTGAGACTATTGGTGAAATTAATAACTACTTGTGGATTTCTCTAAGAAAATATATTTTGAAGAATAACTTTCTTGCAGGGCCGGCCCTGCCTATAGGCAGGTAAGGCCTGTGCCTTAGGCTCCATTTTTTGGCGGGGGGGGGGTTGTGTTTTTCTTTGATTGGAGATATTTATAATCAAAGCAGCATGCTCATATATGCTACATGTTTTTCTTTTGAAAAATCTAAAACCTTCGAGATATTGATTTGTGATTATATATCGATTTTAAACAATAAATAACAATCTCAATCAAACAATAAAAAATAAATCGACACAACGATTTAATATGAAAAAACTACAATTGGAGCGCCTCCAATTTTGATAAAAAAAAAAAAAATCACAGACCAAAGTTACAAAACAATCCACTAAGAAGACAAAAAAAAAAAATTACATAAGTGTACCCTCAATTACCTAGCGGAACCACACCTGAATTGAACTGACCCCAATGTGCCTCTTCCATCACCGCCTGCACTTCGGAATTGTCTTCCCCAACGTTGAATTCACAATGCTAATGTCGAATTCATGATGGTGAGCCACTCCGGAATCCATCAAAACTTCAGACCCAAGTTCTCCGAAATTCACCGAAGAACAACTCTCTCTTTTGTAAATAAAAGAAAACTAACAAACTCCTTGATGATGTTGATATAAGGTTCATGGGCCCATTGATCACTCTTGAATCATCAAGGAAACACTTATAAAGCACCATCCAATACAAACCACTTTGTTTTTTCTTTCTCTTTGAAAAACTGGACGACTCAAATCCTAAAAACAACAAACAACACACTTTATAAAAAACAGGATCGCGCAGATCGCTCAAGTGCACATTTCACCACTCAAGTGATGTGAGTAAAGGCAGTGCAAAACATATTGGCTTACCGCTCGAGTGCAACTTTCACCACTCGAGCAGTAAACTCTTTTCCCAGAAGTTCAAGCGCTCTGCAAAGATACTAGATGATTCTTTTCTTCACTCGAGCGCACAAATGACCACTCGAGCGATAAAACAATTTCGACTACATTTTTGCTTTTTGCTTCAAGGGCGTTGTTTCTCGACCTGTCGTGGCGTTGCTCCGAACCTGCTATGGAGCGCTATCACCTGGACCCCAGCGAGCTGACCGGGCAGCTCGATTCTCATACATAGTCAACGAAGTGGCAAACATAAAAGCTTCAAAATCACAAACTCCTTTACATAGGTACAATTCGGGTTGAATTCGCATCTAAACACTCACATCCTCCCTGAGACATAAGAGCAAATAAAATTACAATTAAAAGAATTTTGTCAAACGAAATTGCCAATTACAAAAAATCTAACACTTTGATTGGAGATATTTATAATCAGAGCAACATGCTTATATATGCTACATATTGAATTTATATATTCCAGTCTATAAGTTTGTATATATTCCAATTTACAAGATTTCTTTTATATTTTTGCATCCTTCTTTACTTTTTATTTTTACTTTTTGTTCAAAAATCTAAACCCTTTTGTTAATTGCATATCTCCTCCAGATACGGATGGAATGGACTGGTAATTATGAACATTTGTGGGACAACAGTTGCAAGAAGGAAAGTCAGACCAAAAAGGAAAGCAAGGTGGTTAGTCTCAATCATCCTGTGTGGCAATCAAATTACATCTCCTTGATTAAGATTAAGTTCTCTGTATATAAAAGAACTATTAAGCATTACTAAATCCCATGGACTGGAAATTCCATAATTTCTTGACTATGAAGGTGGTAGGACGCCATTTGTTCGTTGTTGGTTTCCAGAAGTAACTTGTCCTCCTTCCAAAATGCCAAAGGCAGATTAATTCCTAGAAGGGGGCTGACAGTGAATAGTTTAGTCCAAGACTCTTTAACTCCATATTCATTCATCACCCATATTTCAAAGCATTTTCGCAACTCTTTATCCTCCTCTTCTGATCGATTATACACAATCAGGGAGAGGAAATCATTCAAGACAAAAAGACTCTTGTATCCATCTTTATAGGTGCAAGAATCTAGGAATTGCATCTATCGAAACAACTCATCGTCAATGTCAAAAGCTAGGATTCCCTCAAACTTAGCAATTTTATCGTGTCCATACCAATGAAAGGCTCAACATATCAAAGCAAGGAAAATAAAAAACATCAATTAGGACGATGGAGTGGACTTGTCTCCCAAGAATCACTACTTAAGTTGTAAATCTCAATATCTGAATTTAAATAGGGATTTCATCGACAACCTTGACAATATCTCCATCCACACATCTTTCGGCAACTACACCATCGCCATTTGATCTTCGCAGCAAAGATAATGTGAGAGAGAGAGAGAGAGAGAGAGAGAGAGAGAGATATGTAACCTGACTCATATGTGATTAATTTTGTTTTTTTAAAAAAATATTTTATACCTAAATAATTGTCTTCACAAATTTACGAGGATGACGGTTACATATGACAGGTTTATGGAACAATGGGTGGTTGATGTGCCTGCAGTCACTATTGTTGGGCTGCTTGTGAGTCTCAATTTGATGATTGAACTATAAAAGATCAGATAGCTTAATCTTAATCAGAGATATCGAGGACACTTTTATCAAACTATATTTGTATAACAATAATTTTTAATATAAAATTGAATATAAATATTATTATTATTATTTGATTAAAGAGTTATTGATATCTAATTAATTTAATTTTTTCTAAAATATTTTACTTAATGTATCTTTAAAAAAAAATCAAATTATCAAAATAAAATCCAAAATAGACCTAATTAACTACACAACTAAAGTAGCTTTGTTTGGGTGCATTCCAATCTTGTCTTTTCTTTATTTTCTTTCTTCTTCTTGGTCGGTGCTATTAACTTCTCATCCTTCTCTTATATCTATGCTTCTAGGTCTTTCTTACCTTTCTTTCATACTGGTTTGCACTATTTAGTCTTGGATGGAGTGTGTATCAGACGTTTCTTCAGATCTGGGTAGCATTGCTAAAGGATGAGTTCTAAGGATGTGCCACAACGACGCTTGGTAGGAAGAATTATTGCTCAGAAACAAACTAACAAACAAGCGGTGGCTAATATTCTTCACGGGGCTTGGAAGGTCAAAACTTCTTTCACTCTCTCTTCATGGAGTGACAATATCTTTCTATTTAACTTTGAAGATGAGGACCTGCGATGGGTTCAACATGAAGACCCTTGGTCTATCATGGGCAACCTACTTGTTCTCAAACCCCTTGTACTTGGCATCCCAGTCACCAGTATAGAGTTTATTCGGACCCGTTTTTGGGTCCAAGTTCATGGTCTTCCTCTAGAGAAATTAACCAATAACAATGGGGAGATCATTGGGAAGAAGATTGGGTGTCTCT